TGATAACTAATTTACTTTTAAACCTGACTTTTCTTGCGCGGTTATTTCAGTTTAATGAAAAACAAGCATGTCATTAAACGCAACGTTTATAGAAATCGAACTTTACCTCATCCATGACAACTAATTTTCGATTCCCGTCTGACTGATTTATCCACGGTGGAGTTGAAAACAACAGTTCCCATCATTCTGCTTTCCTCCACGTCGTCATCAAGCAAAGCCGGTGTTGTTGTTTTGAATGTAGCGCCCTCTAGCGACATCTAAATCTTAGGTATTGCACCTTTTAAAACATACATACAGTTTTGGATATATTCAGTTGAAGACAATTTTGATTTAACCATTCTGTGATCTTTTGCATTGATTTGGATAGCAGATCAGCAGCTTGAGCAGCACTGTTAGCATGTACAAAGACTACTGTGTCATCTCCATACATTTGGGTATTGACCTCAGGGCAAACATTTGGCAAGTCATTTACATACAACGAAAATAAAAGTGGACCCAGAATAGAGCCCTGTGGGACACCAGTAGGTAAGGAAATTATACTTGATTGATGATTCCTAACTCTAACAAATTGAGTCCGTTGTGTTAAATAAGATTCCACCCATTTAATAGTGCCTGTATCAAAATTAAAAGTTTTTAACTTAGATAAAAGAACTCCATGATTAATGGTGTCAAATGCTTTTTTTAAATCTAAGAAAACAACACCAACAACCCCTCCTCGATCCAACCCTGCTTTGACATTTTCAACGAAATTGCAATTGGCTGTTTCTGTTGAGTGATTAGTACGGAAGCCAAATTGATATGGATGTAGAGAGTAGGAACTGGTATTTAAATAATTTATCATTTGTTCTGAGACAAGTTTTTCAGCCACCTTGAAAACCACCGGCAGGATACTAATTGGTCTATAGTTGCAGACGGACAAACGATCACCTCCTTTGAACACAGGGAAAACTGCAGCCAACTTCCACACATTTGGGAACGATCCCTGAGCAATTGAAAGGTTAACAATTTTCGTAATTGGGTATACTAATAATTCAGAGAGCTCTTTCAACATAACAGTGTTCATTCCAATGACATCTTTCGCTCGAGATGGCCTAAGAGATCTAATCACTCTCACTACATCTGCCTCAGTGATATATTCTATGTTCGAGATGTACTTTCGAGATGTTCGTAAAATATATTCTTAGAGGATGGAGGGCGATATAGTGTAATTAGTGAGAAAGACATTGATGAAGATGAAGTTATGTTAAGTCCAATACACTCTAGTTCATTACATGACCACTGTATCTCCTGGCATTGAAAGCGATCTTTTACATAGATTAAAACTCCTCCTCCTTTTGAGCCCACTCTATCTTTTCTATGCACCTTATAACCAGGAACATATAAAGCTGATGAGGGTAAATTTTCATTAAGCCAGGTCTCTGTTAAACACAAGAAATCCAGATTCGAGTCTAATAAAAGCTGATGGATTTGATCACTTTTAGATTTAAAACTTCTGATATTTAAGTGCCCTACTAAAATACCACTCGGTTTTAATTTGGAGTCCCAGATAATTCTTGAGTGATTGACAGTCTGGAATATATTCAGTTTCTTATTTTTAGCTATTGCAACATTTAACATTCCCCTTAGGGAAGCACGACCTGGTCATCAGGTTCCTGAGGGGAGCGAGGAGGCTGCACCCGCCTCGTCCTCCCCTCGTACCCTCTTGGGACCTCTCAGTGGTTCTAAGTGCTCTGCAGAGGCCTCCTTTTGAGCCTTTGCAATCAGTAGAGTTAAAGTTTCTGTCCATGAAGACGGCACTCCTGGTTGCACTGGCCTCCATCAAGAGGGTGGGGGACCTGCACGCATTCTCCGTTGACGAAGCGTGCCTGGAGTTCAGGCCGGCTTACTCTCACATGATCCTGAGACCCCGGCCTGGATACGTGCCCAAGGTTCCCACCACTCCATTCCGGGGCCAGGTGGTGAACCTGCAAGTGCTGCCCCTGGAGGAGGCAGACCCAGCTTTGGCACTGCTCTGTCCGGTACGTGCTCTCCGCACCTATGTTGACAGAACGCGGTGTTTCAGGACCTCAGACCAGCTCTTTGTCTGTCATGGGGGGAGCCAGAAGGGAAGGGCTCTCTCAAAGCAATGGCTGTCTCACTGGATAGTGGACGCCATTGCTTTGTCTTACCAGCAGCAAGGACGTCCGTGCCTCCTTGGTGTGACGGCCCATTCCACTCGGGGTGTGGCCTCCTCTTGGGCTCTAGCGCACGGCGCCTCGCTAACAGACATTTGCAGAGCTGCAGGCTGGGCGACACCAAACACCTTCGCGAGATTCTATACTCTGCGAATTGAGCCGGTGTCCTCTCACGTACTCGCTTCCGCCAGTACTGGACCCGCTTAGGTGTCTTCGCTTGCTCGCCATTCCACTCCTCGGATTGGATAAGTGCGATATTTCCTCAGTGTCTTCCGTTGAAGCCTTGAGTCCTCCAGCACCGACGATGCGGGCACCACTGCTGCTGCTCTGGATGCTGGCTAGGTGCCTCCATGTGCACGGTTCCCTATGGTAACTGTCTCATGTGTATTATCCACTGTAAGCCTCTCTGAGCATGTGTTTTCCCTTGGCAAGCCATCTGCCACCCCTGGAGTTAAATTCTAGTAGCCACCTGCGGTTGGTGCTCCAGTGATCTCCATATGCGTTCCTATGCGGCCATATGCGTATTTGTAAGTCCTCCTTCGGTAGGCATCTGGTAGCATGTCCCTCCAGGGATATGTTTCCCAGTGTACCTTGGTATTCCTGTGTCAAAGTGGGATCCCTGTTAAAAAAACAAACAAAAACAAAAAGTGGTTCAGGGGTTCAGACTTTCGCAGAGCACTGGAAGACAGCTTGAAGATGGCGTGATGGCACTGACCCCCATTCTCCGTCACTTCTGACGTAACTCGAAGTGACTACGAAAGGGAACGTCTCGGTTATGGATGTAACCCTCGTTCCCTGAGTAGGGAACGGAGACGTTACGTCTCCCTGCCACTTCGGCTGTACCGCTGGGTAGACGCCTGAGTTCAGTCTTGGCTCCTCAGCGAAGACATACTGCGGTTGAGTTCACTTCCTCCTGTATACCCACTGCGTGGGGCGGAGATACGCTATGCAAATTCCGCAGCCCCAAGGCATTTTCATGCCATTGGCTCGTTTTTAAATACTCGAAGAGGATTGGCTTTCTATGCGAAACCCCCATTCTCCGTCACTTCTGATGTAACGTCTCCGTTCCCTACTCAGGGAACGAGGGTTACATCCGTAACCGAGACGTTAACCCTCTATGCGCCACAGTCGAGTTTACTCGACAAGATGCGTCACTGAATAAAACAGCCGATTTTGTCACATTAGGTGTCAAATTTCGTTCGACCTCCCCTCCACTGGATGGCAGACATGTCATACTTCATCCCTGACTCAAACGTCATGTTTCTATACAAAATGTTCGAGTTACAGCGCATTGAATCAGTGCGATCAACAGCGGAGCTAGTATGAGAGTGAGCCATTTCATCAGAGTCTCTCAGCAATCGTGGCGACAGTATTGTGGTGGAGTCTGTCTATTATCACTGGGTATGTTAGACGAGGTCGAAGTATTCATAGTACAGATAGGGGGCAACGTGAAGGCAGGGTGAGGAGTCGCAATAGTGTGCATATTGCATACCGCGCTCGTATCATCTCACTCATGATCTGTGCCTTGCCGTCGCAAGTGATCTTTTGAACTAAACAGGTCTTGTCTACTTGTGTTTGTGTGTCATATGAATAATATATATATGTGCTGTGCCTCATACATGGAATCAGAGTGCCTACTGTATGTAGTAAATGGAAAATCTCTACAGCAAAAGGCCAACCACTACATGCATACGGTTTGTTCTACCATTTATTAGTAATAATTTACACATCAGTTTGTTTACTACTTACTATATACCTGAGCATTCAGTATTGTGCAATATAGCATACAGAAGGTGATGGACATTTTGGGGGGAAAGAAGTGCTGCATTTTATCATTTAAACATGTGACTTTTCATGAAAATGCTCTAATCCACGATTGCTGCCACCATATGATGTCATAATATGCAAATTAGAGGAAAAATGTAATCCCTACATAAACTTTTGGTCATCCTTAAAGGGGTGGTTCGGGATTTTGGACATCGGGCCTCATTTCCAAGTGAGCCTTAGTGTTATTTATCAGTAAAGACATTTTTTTTAAAAAATCATCCAGTTCTCAGTTGCTTAGTTGGCCGGTGCTAGGCTAGCGCGAATCATTGGTATCTATTTTAGCAAGCCATTAAAACAGTTTTAACCACTTTTTAAAAAAAAAAAATGTCTTTACTGATAAATAACACTAAGGCTCACTCTGAAATGAGGCCCAAAATCCCGAACCACCCCTTTAATATTTCTCTAATTTACAGAATCCTTTTTCACTTTTAAGATAAAGCCTTTTGAAATTAAGATGTCAAAATCGAACGTTTTAGGAAAAAACCTCTGCCGCCTGAAGGGTTAATATGTAGATAGTGTATAGATGCAGGAGGTGGAGATTTATAGCCTTTTCTCACAGCATTGGATATAATTACACTAATTAATTTGATGGCGGATCTTAAAATTAAAGCAGCGCCTTTATAAAGGTAAATAACGCCCTGGGGTAAATATAACACACTGATGAAAATATTGCTTCACAATACATTAGGCTATTTATACCCAAAAAATGTGCAGTTGTAGTGTGTGTGTGTGTGTGTGTGTGTGTGTGTGTGTGATGGGTGGCGCCAACACTGATATTGCAAACCCCTCAGCAAATGTGCAGCTGTGCCCATGACACACACACACACACACACACACACATACATATACCTCTCTCTCTCTCTCTCTCTCTCTCTCTCTCTCTCACACACACATGAATATGAGATATATATTTCATATTGACAGCACTATGTTATTTATAGTTTAAGTGTTGTGTTTATCTCTGGATATAGGCTTAATGTGTGTCACTGTTCTCTACAGGTTGAGTGAGTGTGGAGTCACAGATGAAGGTTGTGTTGCTCTGGCTTCAGCTCTGAGATCAAACCCCTCACACCTGAGAAAACTGGATCTGTCATTTAATAAACTAGGAGACTCAGGAGTGAAGCAGCTGGAGGATCTGAGGGATGATCCACATTATAAACTGGAGACACTGGGGTAAGAATAGTTCTTAACGATTTTCATCATTATATTTTCATTTAAAGTTCAAATCTCTGTTTTACTTGTTTTACTCGCTAGAAATAATAATAAAGGTTCAAGTTCAGTAACAAACTAGTGTGTGTGCGTGTGTATGGATATTGTGTCTGATATCCAGGGGTGTAAAGTAACGAATTACAAATACTCACGTTACTGTAATTAAGTAGTTTTTTTTCAGAAATTTTACTTTTTTGAGTAAGTTTAAAATTGTGTAATTTTACTTTTACTTGAGTACATTTTAAGTGATGTATCGGTACTTTTTTCCGCTATTTTCCTTCTGTTTGTGGCCGTTACTCGTTACATGCTTGTTTTAATTTAATTTTTATCCATCAACGTGATTGGATCGAGTAATCGGTCTCGTGACTGTCATCAATTCAAATTAAGCATAGAAAACTTTAACCGCCTATTCCTGCTGTTACTCGTGACTGCTGTGGATGTGCATTCATCACGCATCAATTCAATCCAGATATCAGCGTCTCCCTCTAATATGCTAAGGTACATTTCACATTTCTACTTAATATGATATTTATAAAGGCTGGCCTGTCTACATGGCCTAACATTTGGTCTGAGGTTGGGGGAATTGCGAGACCGGTTCATAATGCGGTGAATTCCCGCTCCCATTTACTTCACTAGAGACGCGCGTCACGATCTGTGCAGTGCCGCGTCTCGCGCTCGCCATGCCATGCCACCACATTCAGAATCAGTGCACCATGTCGTTAACTTGAACTGCATTTCTTAATAAGAAATTAGCACAGCTCGTTAATAAACAACGTTTTTTTTTTATTGATCCATCATACGATCCGTCTTCATTTGGCAAGTGCACTTCCGCAAAAACATTTTTTATGCTGAACTTTTTTTTTGTTTGTTTGTGGATGCTGCTGATAAAACAGCTTCGCCGAGACTTCAGAGACAAAGTGTGTTTGTTTGTTTCTTTTGTAAAAGTTTCCTGGATATAAATTCCCTATTTAATGCACAATTTTCTTAACAAATTATATTATCAGCATTACAATGTGAGTAAATGTAGCTGTGTAAAATGTAAAGGATGATGCCACCCTTCTAGAACAATGCATTTACGTTTAAATTGTAACATATTTAATAGCATGGAATAAAAGTGTGTAATTAGTGTTAGCACTATCTTACCTTTTTCAGTGCATTAGTTGAGGTAATCTGATAATATTAGTGATTCTCATTTATCAAAACACTAACATTGGTACCATTTTGGAGAGAAATTGGGTATTTTTTAATCTCTCTATTTAACCCATCTCTTGGTTTGTGATGCTGAACTATCATATGAGTTTTAAAAGGTTTTTGAATTCTTTGCACAGTTATGAATATTGATATTTTATGTGCAACAATAGCATGCTCAGGCCCAGTGGCTTTTCGCTTAATTTTAAATGCTTCCCCCCCCCCCCCCCCCCCCCACCATTTAATTATGATTTAAATGGTGATGAGTGTACTGATTAGATGCATTTTAAAAAGATGGATGATAGATATTCTTTAATCTTTCTTACAAAGAACAAAATATAATCTGAATTACAGTATGTGGGGTTTTTTTAATTTATAAATTGTAGTGCACAGTGTTTATTATAAGGGTTAGAATCCGCACCTCAGTACTCACTACTCACTACTCTTGAGTACTTTTAAATAAGCTACTTTTTTACTCTTACTCAAGTAGATTTTTGGACAAGTACTTTTTACTCTACTCACACTACATTTTTTGGAATGTAATGGTACTTTTACTTGAGTATGTTTTTTCAGTACTCTTTCCACCACTGCTGATATCATCAGATAATGATATCATAATTAAATTCAGCTTCAGTTTCTGTCGGTCTCTGAACTTTAAACTGTTTAATATGAGTGTAATTCTGCTCATACTGTTGTGACTGATTGTGAGAATAATATGAATGTTATTTTCCTCTTTTCCCCTTGAACTGTCTCTATAGGCATCTTTACACAGCCGAGTTAAGGCTGCTCTAAAGCGGCTCTGTGTCTGCTCAAAGTTCTGTGTAAAGACACAATGCCGCATAAAAGCAAACTGAGAATATGCCGACCTGACCCGCCTCAGCCGCTAGTGTCAAAGATGACTCTGATATTGTTTTGCTTCAGTGTAAATGAGCGCCAACTTGTGCCGCTCTAAACTACGCCATTGTCATGACAACCAAACGCCTGTGGTTTCTGTGCCGCTTTTTCTGTGTAAAGACGCCTTATGTGTGTGATAATCTGAGATTTGGGTTGTTATTAACTGATATTAAATCTGTAGTGAGTGTAATGATGATTTCTGCTGGTTCTGGATCAGCTGTCCGTTGTGTGAAAGTGACCTTTCATGTGCTTTTGATTTTGTAAAGTGACTTTGAGCATCAGATAGAAGCTTATCATGTTGGAGAAGGAATGAATATAGATTATCTAGTTAGTTTTCTTATGAAAAGATGTGACAGATGTAATATCTCATACTGCATATGTGACTGTGTGTGTGTTTTATTTTAGGTATTCGAGGCCAGTCTGATATTCTGCTGATCATCTGATGGTGAATAAGGATCCACTACAGAGACTCACAGTCAACAGAATCAACAGAGACTGAAGATACAGTGACTTCACTGTTAGAAATTAACACTTCATTTAGATTTCAACCATCCTCTTACAGACCTGATGAGGCGGCAGTGAAACACCTTTTATTTCACAGCAAATTACACTTTCTCATTCATAGATTAACCTTTTTATTTGTATAAACACACAGTTTAAACCTGAAGCCTGAATGTCTTTGTGTTGAACCAGCAGAGGGAGACAAACACTAATGAAAGATTAATTTTTCATAATCATGAGAAGAAAAAAACAGTTCAAGCTAATTTTTGGAAAACAATGGAAGCTTGAGTGTATAATCATGTTTTTAATAATATCTGCATTACACTTGTATTAATGTATTAAAGGGGTCATATGATGTGTTTTCATGTTTCCTTTTTCTTTAGTGTGTTATGAAGCTGTTCAGGAGGCGTGAGCACATCTCCCCATTCTGGCCGCTTGCACTGGTCCCAGTTCATTATAGGATTCAGTTCAGAGTTGTACAGGGTTCCCGCGGGTCTTTAAAAAGTCTTAAATTAGATATTTAAAATTTAAGGCCATTAAAAGTCTTATAGTCTTATTTTTAGGTATGAAAGGTCTTAAATTTTAGATGACACTTCGACTGTCATATCTTAATGTTTTTCAAATTAAAACCATCTAATTTGCGTACGTATTAATTTTTATCTATCTTTGTGGATTTGCTTGTTCACGTGACAATTCGCGTCACATTCGCGGTATCTGCTATACATCATAATACAAAGCATTTACATGTGTTAAGACATTATCAAACCCGAAAACTCAAATGAACTAATCATTCCCCTTTCCGGTACTGACAGCATAGACTTAAAGGTGCCCTCTGGGATAAAAAAATCAAATCATACACCATATTCCATACCAGATGGGGGCAGTATACCTCCAGAAATACCTCCACGGCCGCACACACTCTCATGTCTTCAAACAACACGGGCGAGCGCTGAGTTGCTCTGTCTCCCTCGTGCATATTAATCAAATCAATTGACACGATAGTAAAAGGTTGGAAGGCCGCAGTTTCACGTGGAGCATTTGGAGATTTTCACAGACTAGAGACTAAATGAACAACATCTCAATACTAAATTATAAAGGCCGTCTCATAGACAAGTTGGTGCATTTCAACGATATGGGAAAATTAAAGCCCAGGATATTATTTCTAGTTTTATGATATTCGTTTTGTTCATATTACATTTTTATCATAAGTTTTAATTAATTTGACAGACAGCATTTCCTGATGTGGACCAAGCTAGCGCCTTTCAGAGCTGCCAACTCTCACAACACTTTTCACACACTCTCACGCCACACATCAATATTGTCATGCACAGAAAAGGACACGGAGACCGATGTCAGCTCTCAGATTCTGTTCATTTTATTACGCAATTCAAACAATAAATGCAGTTTAGGCGCTTTACACGACAGATCCCTAATGCACGTGAACCGATCATCTCTACTAGCTAATGGTAAAAGAACACGAACACTGTTGAAAGATACAGTGTGTTACAACTTACCAAAATGTATTCCTCATGCATAATATCCACCAATCATTTATTTAACTCATCCCTGAACTGAAATGTAGTAGTGGGCTGTATTTCCACACGACTGACATCAGGTTCAAGTACACACAAGCCGCCAACTCACTCGTCTATTGCAGTTTGGCTGGTGGTAATGTTGCCCGTCCGCATACCGCCTCCCATGGCCGAAACTGGTATTACGACACCTGCCGGGCCGGGGCTAGTAATTTAGCATGCTAATTCAGGTTAATATCTCGGCAGCACTATAACTTGTCATTTTTTTAATGACATCATCAACCTTATTTCTTCTCATTCTTTTGATGCGTGTAGCTCATTTTTGGGATATTTTAACCTCAATTTAGGTTAGGTTTAGGTTTTGGCACCTTTAATGGAGCTGACAGGGAGAACGAAAGACTCGGACCCAGCGAACCCGAACTCGAGACTCAAGAGATGAACTAATCTTTAATCTTTCCGGTCCTGCTATATCACACGGCACGGCCCAGCAGACAGCACAGATCAGAGTCAGACACGGACGAGTCAACAACTAACGTCTCGAGACATGAGAGGAGGAGAACAAACCTGATAAATATGAAGTTGCAAAAGAAAGAACGTCTCGGATCAGGAGGTGAGGTGAACTAACAGAATCAGACGGCAATAGCATGAACTTGAGACCCAGCAACTAATTAATACAGTTATTTCAGTTGCTTTTGGCTTTGGCTGCATTACCCTAGTTATTTATGTTATTTTTAAAAATGTAATTAAGATTTTTGTAAGTACTAGATGTTTTGGGATATTTAACATGACATTTTAATTATTTATAAAATGAACAAAATGACTCGAGAAAAGATTCGTTGATTTTACTGAACGAGACTCAAAGATCCGAGTCAGTAAAATGATCTGAGCTTCCCATCACTAAAGCACACTAGACTAGACAAATGTATGAGACAAAGTGAATATACCTGTGTAAAATAATTCACAGATGTATGTAGTGAACTAATAGATACAGACTTTGATTTCAAAAACTCATCAACCGAACCACAGGCTCAACTCTTCAGCACAGTGGTAACCCCAAAAACTCCAGAAATATACCACAAAACCTTTTATATTCCTAAATACTAGAACATTAAACACTACCAGATCTTCCTGTATATTAATATTAAGGAAAACACATCAAATAACTCTTCATTTTAACATTTGCTCTCCTAAAACAGTCAGAAGCAAAGCATGCTGGGAACTGGAAATCTGTGGTAACTCTTTTCAACTCTTGTGGTGCGGGTGAAGAACGGCAAAGTCAAAAGCTCCAATGAGTTCATATAGTTTACTTCAGAAAACTCTCACAGGTACAGATTGGCAGGAAGACGGGCAGGAACACTTGCAACAACACCAAAACATTTACAAGAACCGACAAAGACTGAATGAACTGAGGGAAACTAAATACAGAGTACTGATGACCTTAACTTCAGAACAGGTTCTTTTGGGCTCTTCCATTGCCACACCTACAAACATTAATTAAACAATTAATACATTGCATCAATAAGTACTTAAATACTTAAACTAGTCTAATATACCTCAATAACTTCAATTACCTTCATAATTCATCACCATCATCATTTACAATCAAATTACAAACTTAATATAAGATATATATCTAAATAAATATATATAGTTTTTAAAATGATAACAATCTTAGTTTTGAAAAATTTTAACATTAACATGTTATTTCACTACTAATAAAGTCCCATCAAACCACATATCTATCACAGTGACATGTACTTGATGTCTGCATTTACATCTGCAACACATATTTTTTGTAGTCTTTGCTCATATGTAAAACATTTTAAATAATTTCCAAACAGATGTCAAATATATATAGCAAAAATATGTTTAAAATGTTTGGGATTTAAACTGAATGTAAACTGACATCTTAAAACAATTAAGATTCAGATGATCCTGGATCTGGATGGACTGGGAGAATCTTGAGAGGGACATGGTGGCTCTGAAAATCGCACGACCACTGCGATCATCCTACAGGCAACGTGTGGACTCCCCTGTAGACGCTGGCCAAAATCAGTAGCCCCATGCACAGAGATCTGTGGAGTCCACAGAACCAGGATCCTCTGAATCCTCCTCGCCTTCAGTGGAGCTCTAGCTTCCACTGAAAGCAGGAGGATTCTGTGGATCCTGGATCTGGGTGGATTGGGAGAAATGGTGAAGTATGGTTTTCCACCAATGCAGAGACAATTCCCTTTCTTCAGCCTGCAAGAGGCGTGAGTCGAGGGCCGACACGCTATGCTATCGCAATGGTTCAGAACATGGATTCTGTGTTCAATCTGTTTTTTACGGAGGAGACGACTGACCTCATTGTCAGCATGACCAACCTCCATGGGCACCGCACAATGAGAAACTGGACTGGGGTGGACTCCACAGATCTCTGTGCATGGGGCTACTGATTTTGGCCAGCGTCTACAGATCCAGAGGGGAGTCCACACGTTGCCTGTGGGATGATCGCAGTGGTCGTGCGATTTTCAGAGCCACCATGTCCCTCTCAAGATTCTCCCAGTCCATCCAGATCCAGGATCCTCCGAATCCTCCTCGCCTTCAGTGGAAGCATGAGATGATGATGAGGGTGCCACATCCAAACCAGGATCTGACTGTCCTGAGTCTGCGGTCAGAGTGAGAAGACAATACCTCCTGCAGCTCGCTGGAGGGGTCAGACTGCATAATCATCTCTAAAACTTCACTACAAGTCAAGCCCTTTCTCATGTTGCTTGCTGCTCTTCTCACCATCAAATGACAAGCGTTTATATCCACTTGCTTTGTTTTTGTTTAGTCTGCATTTCTCACCATCAAAAGGCAGCAGATGCATAAATACACTTACTTTGTTTTTGTTTACTCCATGTAGTTTTGAGAGCTGAAGTATATATTTTTATTTTCTCAGACGCATCAAGGTGAGTTCTCACACTCTCTCACACACTCACGCACACCCACACACACATATACACACTGTAATATGCTATTATACTCTATATAACTGCATGTAAAAGCCAGAAACTAAGCTTTTTTTTGCACAGGCCTGTCTAAAGGGTTAAATGGTTCCACCTGGTTATCAACAGTAAAAATTACAAATTTTACCTCTTCCCAACAGGGAAAACCATCAACAATCAAAAATGCATGAATTTATGGTGTCATGGCTTTGCAATCAAAAAATGTGGTTATAATGGAAGTCAATGGGGCAAAAACAGCCACGAACAGTAAATGAGGGAGAAAAAGTTAAAATCTGATGCTACACAAAAACTTACAATGCATCAAAACCAATGTTGTTTCTAATCTTTGACATGTCCAAGACTTTGATAAAAGGTGAAAAAAATCCAGTCCACAATCATATTTTATATTGAAAATAAGTCATTTTGTGTTTTTTTCCCCCCAAATCAGTGACATCATTTATGAATTTGGCAATTAAAGAGTTAAAATCCTGAATTTTTTTTAAACATTTAGTAGTTTTGATCAGGACTGAGGTCGGTTAATAGATTTATGCAAAAAAATTTGAAAAAAATATTTATCTGATACATTTTTACAGCAGTTTAAAGTAGTGGCTTTTTTCAGCCACGAAAATAACGAAAGGGTAGTGAATTTGCCC